GGGTGTGTCTCATCAAGTGTGAATTTAACAATGCTTCTCGTCAGGAAAATTAAACATCTTACAATACTCCTTCCCTTTTAGGTGCCCTCCTCTTCTGTTACTAGGTGGAAACCATTTAGCAATGACTTTATTAACTAAGGATCAAGTTCCTCTGTGTTTCCTTCCTGTTCATTCCTTTTCCCCTCACACTTATATACGCAGCATGCAGCTGTAGCGTACAGTCAAGAATAAGGCTTTAAAATATAAGTGCTAGGAATAGAAGTTCCACTCTGAATCATTTCCAGCCCTAACACTTCTGAGTCTACAATAATTTAGTTAGAGCTGCAGGAGCACTAATCATGCTGAATTTATGTGTTCTTCTTTATGTGAAACTGCTTCAATTTAAAGGCTGAGGGCATGTCTGCGACTCACTTTCCACCTACACTCATACACCCCCACACACTCTGTTCCATTTTCAGGTTAATTTCCCAAAGTACCTTGGAGCACACATTTAGATGCCCTGTCTTAAAATCTGTCTACATTACTGAGGTGCATGGTAGGATTAATATTCAAATTTTGGAGTAATTTAAAAAAGAAGGTCAACAAGCCCCTGTTCTCAAAGCAGCTTCTTTTAAAACTGGTATTATACTAGCTTTTGCACAGATGCATCTCAAATTTCATGTGCACTCTATATATATGTGTCTTGACATATATATACACATACAAAATAATCTGCATTGTGTTCTACTAATTATTATTAATATTAATCTATTAATCTATTGTGTTCTAGTGGAAGCAAAAGTGGAAGAGATGCAGAGGGGGAAAAGAGCAACAATTAAAACTTGGTTATTTTGTTTGTGAGTTAGATGTTCATATAACTCACAAACCAGAGATTTCCACTGGAAACTTAAAAAACAGAGTGATCTGTAGTCTGTCAGCTCTCACATGAGCTGTGAGTCTCAGGGGCCTCAGTGGTAGCCATTGAACCTGACCTCCACCCAGGTAGGGTCATTTTAAATTGACTCTTGGCACATATACAAGAAAGGAAGACAGAGTTAATTTGCTTTGGTCAGAGTTCTGCTTTCTTGTCATTTCGGGAGAATGTAACCTAAATAGAGAGGAAGATACAGAAGGCATCAAATTTTTCTTTTCTTTTTCTTTTTCTTTTTTTTTCTTTTTTTTTTTAACTGAGGAGTAGATGTGTAAATGTCAGCAGTAGGAGGAGAAAGAGGAAATAAGAGGGCCTGTAGGAAGTGGAGGAAGATGATGGGGACAGAAAATAAAACAGCATAGGAGGAAGAGGACCAGAGACGGGAAAGGGACAACACCACCAGTGGTACAATAAGTTCAAAATTTCCCACAAGACTATATCCTTATTCCCTGTGAATATCACATGAAGGTTTTTACTTTTTGCAGCATTTTACTCATTTGCCCATAGACTATGGAACTGAAAGACACTCCATGTCCCAAGATGGAACTGTTTTCTGTAATCCCTCCTCTTGCTTAAGTGTGAGAGCAGGCTCTCTTAGAAGCAGCGTACCACTCCACAGCGGTTTACCTTCCCGTCACTTTTATTGAGATCTGACATTCTCTGTGGACATGTGAACTTATCCTTCCTTATTTTCTCTCCCTCACTACCTTTCATTTGTGTCCTACAGAGGGAACTGAGATGTACGGAGAGCAAGCTGGATTGAAGAGTTCAGGACAGGCATGCTTCACTCTTCATTTCTGTCAAAGAAGAAAGAGGATGAGAAAATTCTTCCTGAAATGAATGGAGCAATTCACACCTATCAGAGCTTTTGTTCCAAGTTATATATACATCTGAAACCATATCCATCCCCATCTTGTATTCTCACTCAGTTCAGTATATCTGACTTTGTTGAATACATCATTTCACACCCTTTTGAAAAGTCTTCTGTTTAAAGGTCAGTTTCTCCTAAGTGCTGCATAATCCCCGTGGCCATCTAGCTGCCTTGAAATCTGGCACGGTTACCACAGGTAGTGAGTAGAATTATTGGTCTAAATTAGAGGTCACTTGAGTCAAGAATTCCCAAGATAGAGCCTTTTACTTTAAAAACCCCAGCATTCCTTAGCATTGACCAATTGTCCTAATGTTTCTTTTGTGCACACATCTAGAATAAAACTGTGACCAAAGAGTCTCAGTGGGTCCATTTTTTACTCTAGCAAATGAAAGCCATCAAGTGTCTCCTTGGTGTTCAGAGTTCAGATGCTTTCAAAAATTTCAGCTCCACACATGAAGTGAATTAAACACTCAAGACTTCAGGGAGTTATTGACCCCGTGACTAGGTCTGAACACCTCCTTCTATTCCTATACAAAGCTGGGCAAACCCTCCTCCTTAAGAGAAGGAAGTAAAGAATCCTTCTTTTTGCACTTGCTGAATGCTCAGAACCTAGAAATTAATTGCAGGTAGTTCATTTTGAAAAGTAAGAAAAAATTGAAAAGAAAATGTGACACTTAGTTCCAGAAACAGTTCAAAAAGGATAAGGGTAAGAGGACAAGGTAGATAGGTCAATGGAAACCTGCTCTAGGCTCTGGTGGAACCTTGGTTTATTAGGAATATAACAGCTTCAAAGACTTGAAAAAAATATATGCTTATATCTATATAAGTGCTATATGTAAGAAATTGCAGAGTACCAAGAATCTGCCATACATACTGCTTAAATACCAATGACTCAGTGGAACAGGAAGGGTGTATAAACTGAAAATGGCAGCAGGAGAGTTTGGGGAAAAAAGGAGTGTCTCCTCTTAACAAAACCACTGTACTTCACACAACTGTACTTCATTTCCTAGACTGAGAAAATCTGTGTCCAAGAATATTTCTTGTGAGCTGCTCCAGCTCATATTCATTTTAAGGTGGACAGCAGTGCACATACAGTGAGTGAATGGAAGGGTCTGCAGGTGTTTTTGTCCAAGTACTGTACCTTAGGGTTATATTTTCCATGTGCTGGAAGCTGTAACACTATCAAGCAATCAGTGAGTAAATTAAGGTATTTTTCAGTGAAATTCTATCATTACTATTTTGTCATTTCCCTTCATTTCTCAAGGGTTGACATTTTTCAGTACTGAGAAACTATTCATTTAATTCTCTAAGTAACTTCAAAAATAAACTGCATATAATTTCACAAAAAACTGTACATTAGTGAATTAAGGCAAAGTTACCATGGAATGTGTGTGGAAACACATTCAACTTCGATTAGTATATTGAAAGTGTTTGTTATATCTGTTATAACTGATTGCCAGAAGAACTCACAATAATATGACATAACAGAATACTTTAGAAATGTCTACTCCAAAAGTGTGTATACATTTACATACTTGCACATAATATGCAGAAATTCAGCCTAAATTATAATAATAAAACAGAATGCAAACTCTGAAGAAAAAAAAAAAGACATAAAGCAGTAATTAGAAGAGCAATAATGTAATTTGATTAACTAATAGCTGCAGATATAAAAACATATGGTAATTCTGGAAATTCAAAGAACAGCTGTTGCTTGAACTTTATCTTCTTGTTCAGACATTGCCCATAGGAAAAAAATTACAACATCCAAAATTAACCAGAAGCAATGAGCTATCAAGTAATTGATCTATGGATAGAAAAATAGTCTTCTCTCAAGGTACCAGAGAACATCAGACAAATGCCATACTAAATGAAGTCCAAGTAATAAGTCAACATGAACCAACTTTGAAACTAAAACTATGCATCAAGAATGTAAGAGCTCAAAACAAGGTCAAAAGTTATAGGATAAATTATGGCCTTTCAGGCGCTCAAAACTTATAGCAAGAGTGGCCTCATCTGTGTTATCACAATCCATTTGTTATAGGCAGGTGAAAGAAGAGTTCTATAACTTAATCAAGGACAGTTGCACCATAATTATTCCAAAATGCAATATCACCTGGTACTTCATTTTTTCATGAAAAATGAAAATCTCTTACCCTACAGGGGTAGGACATCTGAAAATGGACAGGTAAGACAGAGACAAAAGTACAAGTGCAACCAGAAGAGGTAAAATAACTCTTTACACTCTTTAATGACTCATGATTCTGGTTCTCAGTATCCAAAACGTGTGCGGTTGAGAGTGGGGGGTGTGGATGTGCTACTGAAACTCTTTATCTTGGATGTAATGAAAAGGGGAGACATCTGACTTCATATTTCTAAACCCCGCAGTAAAATTGCCTCAGTGATGACTGTTATGCATTTGGTGACAAAGACTAATACTGGCCAAGTGACAACATGAGAGTATGACTTTTTTTGAATAACCACCTCTTCTGCTCATCCCCAGAAGTATGAGATGCTGCTGAAGCCACCTTTGGGAAGGTTTACACAGATTCAATTTTTCTTTTGTTATATAAATTTATCATCCTCTCCATTAAACAGAAGAGGACTCCAGAGATATAAGGCCTTCTCAAACACAATGAGGAAGGTAACTAAGCTATTTTAGTCTCCCAAAAAAAAAGTTTTTTGAATTTTCTCTTTCAAAAAAAATAATTATTTCATAGGATGATTCCCAAACAGAAAACTAAACACATATCTTTTTGGTTTCAAAAGGAATGGCCTGGGAGAATTTGTGGCACAGAGTACCACAATACAGAATCAGCAGTAAGGGAGTAGTAGCGAGTGGAACTCCCCTGGATACAGAAACATTCATTGAAAAGTTTAAAATCCCACAGCAAAAGCAAATGGTGCTCCAAGCATTTTTTCCAGGTGCTGCAGTCATCCAGGAAAGCAGGAAGCAGTGGTTTCACTAAAATTCAAGTTAATGTTAACAAGAAGTTAAAATGGTTTCTGAAAACTTAAATCTGTGGTCTGGCTTCTTCAGTTCACATTATAGTCCGTGTGCAAAAGACAGACTATTTAACACCTTTTGCAATACTTATTATAAAAACTAGAGTATCTCAAAAGAGGGTTTGTCATCATCATCACATGATGAGGTTTTGCTATACACTACTATTGGCATTACCAGATTAAATATAGATTCTTCCCTTTTAATCAGCTTACCGTTTTGATAATATATCAATGAGTTCTTTTCTGTTCTGGACTCTGAGTGTATTAGTTTTGTATCTGGAATCTTTACTAACTTCAGGCAAATTCAGGATCTAAGTAAAAATAAAAGTAAATAAGAAGTGTGCTTGACAAGAGATTTATATAGATATAGACAGATACATATACATATAGACATATATATATATATAGTCAAATAATTACTAATTTTAAAAGAAATCACTGATTTCCAATAATCACAATTTATCATCAATCATTTCATATAAAGAAATCAAAAATTAATTATTACTCTTTTTTGTAAAAAGCCTCCTGGTTAATGTTGCATAACACGTAAAGGAAAAATAGAGAAATCAGACTGAAGATCCAGATCTTAGCTGACAACTTTAAGGATTAGCCAGGAGAAATTCTTACCATAGAATTGCTAAAAAAATAAGTTATTAACATGGGGGTGGATAGATCTGTAGGATTATCCTGCACTAACTTATATGTCACAGAATAAGAAATATGTCTGTACTTCATATGCTAGACAGAGAAAAGATATGTCTAAGATTATTTATTTCCACTTCAGTAATCTCTTCAAAAAGGGAGAAAAAAAAAAAGAAAAGAAAAAAAGTATTTTTCTATTGAAACACCATTGGTCTTCTTTATTATTTTTTCCAAAAGAATTAATAAAGAAAAGTGGTTCTATAGCCTATTAGAAAGGAGAAATATATCTTCAATGTGTAACTTCGACCTGCCACATTAGAACTTTAAACAACATGTGAAGACAATGTGTATTATTTTATAAAGGGTATTAAATATGCAGAATGAGTCTTAGAATTTTGTACAGGCATTCATTAGAAAAATCAGCTGCGTGGAAAATCAATATAATTTACCTATTTGTGCCACAATGACTTTCTATAGAATAAATAAACATAATTAAATGTGATTTCTAAAAATACACCAATTACATCAGCTACAGAGAAAGGCAGCATAGAATCACATAAAGAAAGAAACTGTCACATATCATTCATGTATTTCCACTTACTAGCACACTCTAAAGCTCAGTTTTTCTTATGATGAGTCTTATAATCATTCTAAACATGCTACATTTTTTATAGGGCCATTTCTAAGATGGCTTACAAAAAATACAGTGCCTCAAACCTGAAGTTCCTATAGCCCATCATTGTATCTCTGCCTCTTGTCTGGGGCTTAGAAAGAGTTTAAGAACAGGGCCAGTATATACAACACTTCCTTAATATTCATCCAAACTCCAGTCTTCTCTTGATTAGGACATTTCTGAGTCAAAGGTGTTTTCTACATATTTAGCAATCATCTATAAATTTATGTTTTATGATAGGAGTGACATGTTCAGTCATTCCTTCAATCCATATGCCTGTGTACTGCCACATGTAAATTGGTGCCAATCTCTCTGATATTTCTCTGCTTCAAACATAACATTCTACTAATTCCTCTGACACAGATTTAGATCAAGGCCACAGTCATTTAATGACTCCTGACTTTGCTGGAGTGAATAAGGACACAGCTTCCTTTACAAGTGAATAGCTGTTGATGACATAAAACCATTAGCAAAACAGATATTCTTTCAACAGATATGTAGAGATATTAAAAGCAGGTAGTCATCTTTGACATAATTTTCACCTAGAGTGACAAAACTAAGCATGGAAACAAGGTATCTGTAAGTTATGCTAGAAAAATGGTGATGCTACAAAACTCTTCTGCAGTTTTTTATCTGCAAGGTGACATAAAACATCAGTCTAGCATCTTCCATCTATACTTAATTTACAGCAATTTAATTTCTTTTCCTTCTGCATTTATATAATCTAGTTTATGGAAATCACAACATATCATAATTTAGCATTAGAAAATGGCTAAATTTCTCTATCTGGAAGTTTATCAATACTATTGGTACTCCTTAAAATTATTTTCTTCTTTTAATACCGCTATTTTGGAGTTACAAATCACTGCTTTAGAAAAAAAAAAATCCTGTAAGGATGTTCAAAGTAAATGATAGTGAACACTTATGTGATCTTAAAAAAACAAGAAATTAATCAGAAAGCTGTGGTTCCATTTGATGAGTTATATGAAAAATGATCATATGGAGTTGCTCACTCTACTGTTTTAATTAATGTTACTGATTTCAGCTTTAACTTAATGTCCATCTGGTGTAAAGCTGCATTTCTATATATATGTTCTTCTCAATTTTTTTTGTGACTAACAAATGCACACTTGAGAAGTTATTCATTAATGTACCATTCATCTTTCTGCATCATGTTGCCAATGTTATTTTCTTTATTTGACTGTGAACATTTGGAATGAAAATGGTGTTCTCTATTTGAGGCCTTGTTCAAGCTCTACATGCACACTCTGAGCTTATGCTCTCTGTTTTGTCCTGCAACACTAGCATATCTGTTTGTACTCTCCCTTGCTGTACACAAAACTTCAGCCTTCTGAAGGCTCTCGCTCTGTATTCCTAATCAGACCAAATCAGCCACAGGTCAGGATATGCTTTTGTAACACTTGACCACAATGAATGAATGCATGTCATCCAGCACTGTTACAAAAATTTTTCTGCAATTATCCAAGTCCTCAAACAAGCTACGGTTAGTTGTCATTGATTTTGAAAATATCACAGTGAATTATTCCAGATTTTTCTTTCTGCTTGCCTGAAGAGATACAGTTGAAACAGAATGTTTGCAATTGTTTACAGCTTGAGCCAGCTGTTACATCTCTAGAGTATGTGTCTTCAGGGCAACAGCTTCCATAGAGCCTGTGCTTTCAGCACCAACTCAGCTCAGAAAGACTCTCTAATAGCAATTCCAATGTTTGAATTAGTTGTCTCTGTATCTACTGAAGTTCACTAGTGTGTTGTGGGCCTTCCTGTAATAAAGTTATTTTCTTTTATTGGCTTCCCCTCTTCAGAGTGTTTTAAGTTCCAAATCACCTTTGACTTAGCACAGAGCATATCTCTAATGGGTATTCATTCCAGCATTCCACTGACTTCCTCATCATTTCATTTCTGGGCAATGTAATAGCCCAAATCTACACCTACAATATCCTGATAAGGGTAAAAAGCATTCTTTTTAGAAAAAGATATGATAACTGGTGTATAGAAAAATCTAACAATTACTCAAAACTTGAATTATTTTTTCTGCTTTTTTAATCCCTTTGAAATGTAAGCAGTCATCATTTTTCCATGCTCTGTACTTCTTACTTCCAATTGTAGGAACACCAGAACACATTTATAAGGATTGAAAAAAAAAAGAAAAATCAGCCTGCAGACCAGGGCTAATATTCATCTCAATTTTTATCCTATGCATTCTGAGGGAACACAAACTATTAAAATCTTGCTTCATCTTCTGTTCCATTCTTTCCTTAATGATGACAGAGAAAATATCTAGCAACAAGGCACACCATAATTCTTTCAGCTGCACCTTAAAATCAGGTAAAGTACATGGTCTAAAGATTTAGTGCCTGCTTGCTCATATCAAGATGTCAGAACCTACTGTGATGGATCTTCAGCTCTGTCTTACTCAAGGATGGCAGGATGACAAGCATCTGCTACATAATTCTTCACTTTATATGATAAAGAACCAGGAAGACATTCACAGCTATGTCCTAGGACACTCTGGAAAGATTTCCTTTAGGAGATAATGAGTCTTTGATAAAACAGAGCTGTGGCAGGTAGACACTTATTCAACTGTTAGTCTTCATTCATATTAATATAATGACCACTGTAGTGCTCAGACATCTTTATGAACAAAACCCACTGAGCAAATTCTGAAGAGGTTAAGAACCAATTCAAGTAGGTGAAAGCAGAACCCCTCCACACAATGAGGTGGGGATACATACCCCAAATTGTACTAAAAGAGAATCAAAACAGCACTGTCCTCTTACTACATATCCCAGTTATTAGTGGAGAACTTCCACAGAAATGTGAAATATCTGACATGAACAAATGGAGAAAAATAATGCTCAGTTTCCTGAGGGTCATTAATTTATGTAAAAGATCCAGTTTCCTAGAGAAATAACACAATGGTCAAAATAGCTAGAATTGTAATTTTAAAAAATGTTGTCTAATGCTATATGCAAAAATTCTCTTTTCCCATCTTACATGTTATTGGAGTCTTTTATTTGGAATACTTGGATTGGAATAGTTGGAATGGATACATTTTATTTAGAATGATTTTTTTAGGACAGCTGTCCTTCAATGTCATATCTCTGCATCACTCCAAAATCAGCCCAGAGCCCTGTAGCATTTCTTCTCTAAGAAGTCCACAAGTTTCTCAGTGAGCACAGGTCAGCACATGGTAAGTGCTCGAAAGGACAATGTGCCTGGGTACTGATTCATGTAGCAAAAGAACAACCCATCCTCTCACTTCACCTTGTTAATTCTTTTCCATGTATTTTATGGAGAAATAGTGTCACATTTCTTCCTGAAAACAGCACCAGTGTGTTTTATGTGACATTCACCATTCCAAAATTGGAAGGTTGTTAGGTGTCTCATTTTTTATTTTTATTTTGTTTTAGTTGATCAGATGTGCACAGACTTCAAAAGAGGCTCAGTGTCTACAGGTTTTACCAACTGGTGTGTTCTGAATTCAGGACCAAAATACAGACCCCCCCCCGTAGATGATCAGCCAGATCTGCAGGGTTAGAATTTATACTCACCACTTATTTCCATTTTAAAAACAAACAAATAAATAAATAAGAATCAGCATCTTAATGGAAGCTATTACACATTTCTGTACTCTTGCCTAACACACCTTGCACACAGTGACAAACTGATGATCATTTCCAGCTCCCACCACGATGTAGCCATCCTTGGTCTTAAACGCCTGGAAGAACAAAGACAGGTGATAAGCTCTAGCTAGACTATAAAATATTAGCACACCTTTGAAGTGAAACTTTGTAAATAATGTTCAAATTACTTCCTTAAACATTTCCATTCAGACCCAATTTCTTGCTCTATAAAAGTGGCTCAAAGTCATCCATCCACAGAGATGGAGGAGGCCCTTTTTGAATTTTTTTTCTAAAGTTATCTTGGTTGATATTTTATTTGCTAAAAATGTGTCATGACCGACCCTGAAACTTAATGTGTCCCATACTCACAGGACTGAGAAGGATTACCATAATAAAGTTTACTTGCCAGGAGGTATTTATTCAGCTTCACTCTTAGCCCAACTCAGAGCAGACAACTGCACTGATCTTGCACCAAACACAGATTAAGATCCTGACCAAACATACCAAAAAAATAATTGCCAAATAGCAACTGCAAATTAGGAACTCTCATAGGAATGAAAGGGATAGACTTTGCATCTTTACAGCTCTTTGCCTGGAGATAAGGCTATCTCCTTGTTCAGAGGTCTCAAGATAGATCTCAGGAGGAAATTGGACTTCTTTTCCAACTTTTAAAGATGTAATTTTTACTTTTGATTTCATTACATTTGCCTTAGTGGCACATCTATTGGTGAACACAACATTGAACTGGGTAGGACATAACAGCTTTCATTTCAATCTAAACCATCTCACTTAAATTTTCACAGGAAAAAGGAAAATCTGTAATTGGCAACATCCTCAATTTTTACCATTGTTAGGGCATCTTCTGAAATCAGATAATGCAATTCCTCTTTCCTCCACACCTCTCCCTTATACAAAGGTGTATAACTGCAGTTTCAGTCATAAATAATACCAGCCCAATTTTGAAAACATTTGGGAAAAATTATTTCACCATTGATTTGACTTCAATGTAAGAGGCCAGCACAGGCAGGTGCACTAATGGTGGCAAAGTCTTGCAATCCTTTCTTGCAGAGAGCAAAACCCATCTTCCATTCCTAGAAACCTTTCTTTTTCTTGTTTTCTTTTTTTAATGAGCTATCATGTCCTCCTTTAAAGGTGTGAATTTTCACAATAAATTTTGGTAAAATAACACACAAATATAAGTCCTGGAATGGAAACACTTTAATGATTAAAATTCTTCTCATGCCACTGTGGCTTATTCTTCTTCACAAAGAGCATTATGCTATCCCAACTTGCAATCTTCCATATAGACACAAATATGTTCATTAAGACTTTTTTACCATCTGGTATAGTCACAATTTTAAAATTGTACGTGGTCAATCAGTCCTCTAAAGTGCAGGTAACTGTACATCATAGTTAAAATATCACCTGTTTGCTCTTTCATTTCATGGTAAATAGTATTTCCAATTATAAGGTTTAGCAATTTATTTTTCACACATTTAATTAAGTAGTTCAGTCTAAGATAGTAAGCAAAGATAAAACTCTGCAAACAATTAGTCCCAAGCATGCAAGAAAGACTTGGCCCCAGTACAGAAAAGTTTAGTAACATACATTATATAAAGGTACTACATACTTAACACTGAGAAGAACAGCAAGCACAGAAAAAAGATTGGGGAAAAGAATACAAAAAAAGATTTGTATGTGAACACATAAACATTTCTTAGCTAAATCTGTTCATAAAGACCTCTGTCTAAAAAAATAATGGCAGACCCTGGTAAACAAATATGTACGACTCTCCCTCCCAGTAAATGACCTTTAGTGGGAATAACTATGAATTCAAACTGTCAGTATAAACTTACCACCTTTAGTTACAGGAAAAATCTCTTTTCTGAATACCCTGCCCAAATCTTCATTTGTCTTTGCTGACGTTCATAGTTCCAAAACCAGCCTCATGCAAGTCACACAAATTATGGGTCAAACACTGTACATATCAGTGTGCATATATAACACAGTATAATTTTTATTGGTGCAAGCACTTACTACTTCATGTAAACACAAATCAGAATTTTTCTGTACATTCTTTGAAACTTCTAGTCTGGATGCCTGCTACAGCTTACAAAGCCTACAATATATGTCATATGTACAGATACTCCTCCTCAGCACTCCAAAATGTATTTATATTGGTAACATGGGCACATCTTAGAGAGTTTATTATTTATCAGCAACTTCTGTTGAGACACACATCTCTGTAAGAAGCATGCAATCACACAATAGCTGCATACCACTGTGAGACATGCATCTGTACCCACTGGCTGCCCATGCAGCAGCGGAAGTCACTCTAAATTTAAGGGCCTGGTTATTAGCATGTGTGCTTCAGTTGCTTTGCGGAATGTGTGGGAAAACTGATTATTCTTAATTGCACTGTGTGTCTAAAAAGCTAAAATAACAATCATGTCATCCTTACACAACAAAAATGGTATCATAATAAATGCAGCAGTGTCTTTTTCCATGAAGCTTAACTCAAATGTCTTCAGCTGCTATTTTAAGCTTCCCATTACAAAACAGCTGATTATTTGCCAGTCACTGCTGCTGATAAAGCAGAAACTTCCAAATGTTACTAGCACAATATTGATGCCAACATTTAAGGGTAACAATGGTTTTATTCATCAACCAAAAATGTACACACACTACAGGTTACCACAGGTTACTGTCTGGTCACAGAAAGCTTCAGAATCTTATTATACAAAGGAGAGTAAGGGCAAAGTGTAGACAGATTTTAATGAGATTTTGTTTTGATAAACTGCTGTCCATCACATCGAATTATTTCACATTAGTGCAATAAAGGGCACTACACACACAAGGCAAAAGTCCTTTTTCCCGTCCCTTTTTCTCCTGAAGAATGAGGCCTTCTTATAAGATTCTTCAGAGTACAATCATGAGTTAATCTGCTACTCCCATGAGGTATCCTGAACAACAGCACATCATTTGCTGAAGACAAGAAAAAAATACCAAGCAATTATTTGGCATCTTATTCATGGAAAAGGCAGAGAAAGACTGTGAGCATAAAAGTATAGCTTTTTCAGTGTGGTGAAAAAACTTGAGGGTTTCCAAGAAAATAATCTGTAAAGTCCCATTGAATATCTAGTACATGACATCAACACATGCATGTTCAAAGGCAGATCTCGAGGTCCAGTGTCCATGCATCACCACCTGACATTGTCAAATGGATCTTACAGGACCTTATTAAGAGTTAGCACTTTTCCAACTTTAATCCTAGAACATAGTACATACCTGAGATACTTTGCATATTAAAATACTTTAATCTCCCTAAACACATGGCATTTAATTTCTATCCACCTTCAGGAATGTTTTATGTGGTTTACAAGTGTTCTCCAAATCCAAATATGTTACATAGACTACACAATAAAGATGCAGGCCAAACTTAACCTCAGTTATTACCAGAGCAAGCAAAGACTTGCTGAGATAATGAGGCCAAAAGAGCCTTTTTTTCTACTGCTGTAAGTCAATAGCCTTTCAGAATTTACCAGCTTTGAAGGCATTAATGAAAGACCATTATTCTTTTTTTTTTTATTGCCTGCTTTATGAATTTTAAGTCTATATGTTCTATGGCAATCATCAATCATACACAAATATTCTTGCATGTGTTTCAATTTGCATGTTGATTCCACTAAAAAATCTTTTAAATATAAGAGATCAGTCAAAGGAAATGGCAATTCCAATAAAATGATCAGAAGTCCAGGTCGTATTTGAATCCAAAACACAGAAATCAAAACAACTAGAACATTTGCAGTTGTGTATAGTAATGGTTTATTCCCCTTCACCAGGCATTTATTCACATCTGTAAGATCTCCTTGAGCCTTCTCTCTGACTCTTTATGCTTAAAAGCCCCAGATCTCTCTTCATATGAAAGATGCTTCAAGCCCTCAATTATTTTCTTGGCCCTTCACTGGACCTGATTCAGTATGAGCATGTCCTTGTCCCAAAACCCCAGAATTAGACCCCGTTGTGGACCCATAACTCGATTGAGTGGTTATTCATCCTCAGTGGTGCTGAGCAGAGGGAAGGATCACCTCTTTTGAGCTGTTGACAATTTCCCTCCTAATGTAGACCAGAATGATCTCTTTGTCACAGGGACACACTGCTGGCTCATGTTCCATTTTCTGCTCACCAAGAGCTCCAGGTCTTTTTGTGCAAAGCTGATTTCCAGCAGGTCAGCCTCAGTCTGTACTCATGCATGGGATTATTTCCTATCATGTGCAGAACTTGATACTTCCCTTTGTTGAATTCCATTAGGTTCTTGATGGCCTGACTCTCCAGCCTGTCACAGTCCCTCTGAATGGCAGCACAACCACCTTCTTGGTGTTAAATACATCTTGGTGGATGGAGTGTCAACCACTCTTCTCCAGTGTGTAAATTCCATAGATTTTGGAGGCCAAACAATACTCAGAGAGACCAACAGAAACAAAGCATTGGGTTTTTCAAATTGTAGGATTCTTCCATATTTAGGAGAGGTTAAAAGGAGATGTTAATTATCTGAAAAAGGGATTATTTTTTCATTGTCAGTTACTGTATTGGCCTGTTTATTGATAATGGCTGTCAATGGTTGAAATATTTGAAAGTTTTCAGACCTCCCCTTGGCAGAACATTTGTACTACATCAGATATGGTAAAAATTATGTACTACTCATATTTATGAGTTTTCTTATCTCATGTTCCAGTGTGAATAACAATTAGGATATGTAGAGATACCTAAAAGTGGGAATACCTGATGTTAGATATGCTTGGAATTGAAATATCTTTCAAGACAGTGCTACCTTTTGATTCATAAACTTGAATAGTAGCATCCCTAAAAGCATCCAACAATGAATCATGAAGGGAACAGTTGAAGGTTTTGGGATAGTCAGTATGTATTGGTGACTTCTGGAGCAAGATTTAAAGGGACTTAAATTTTTGCATGATTCTTTTGCTTCAACTGGCATCATCAAACTTGCTTGAGATTTTGGAATGATGGTATCCTTGTATAAAGACTAGATACAGTATTTCTGCAAGTTACATGTTTGTCAGCACAACAGGCAGAT